CCTTTCCTGTTTTTTTGAGGCGTTTTGTACACTTCTCGCCTCAGCCCCGGTTTTGAACATTTTGAGGTTTAGTTCACACGCCATTTTAACATTTTTTTAAAGCAGCAGTGCCTCTTTTTTTTTCTTTTAGAACGTAGGGAAGAAGAACTCTGAGGTAAATTTTCATTTTTTCTCTCTCCTCAGGGCTTCAGGGGAACTTTAACACACGGTCCTCAAACTTTACCGAACTAAATAGGGACAAATGAATATGCGTGTCTCATCAGCAAGGAGTTCCCCTCATGTAATCTGACAGGCCAGCGAGGAAATATATATATATATTTATGGATATATGAGCAGTAAGCCAGCGTCAGTCAAAAAATATTCCCCAACTGTTTATCTGACTGGATTCCCCTCAGCGCGCTCTCCTCTTTGAAATCCCGCCCTCCGCGCCCCATTGGTTCGCGCGTCTCACAGCTTTCCCGTCTCCGCCCTCCTATTGGTGGATTTTCCCGTCACTCCTCGCGGCTGCCACCGCCGCCTCTCCCCCCCTTTTAAATTGGCATAATTTTTATGGGCCATTTCACATGATATCATAATCCAAGTGATAATTTATAATAATGGCACATCAAGGAACCACAGAATACTGTAATGGAGCTGGAAGGGGCTTCTCTGAGCACGCTTTTGATTCTGGCGCCTTTCGAGCCCATGAGCCTCCCGGGGTTGCGAGTTCGAATCCTCCCCGGTGCCTCCTGGGTGGCCTTTGGGCCAAGCGGCCACTGGAGCCCCCGGGGGCGTCGCCCTCCAGCGACACATCCTTGATTGATCTTTATTTCTTGATCTGTCATTGCTGCCCTTCCAAGCCTCAGCCTCCTGAATTTCTCGGCTGCCGTCATCATCTTTTAGATGCACGGTAGGACGGATGATGAGATGCTTTCCCTCCTCCACTCACTCGATCCAGCTTCGCTTGCAGTGCCTCCTCCGGGAGAAAAGGGGGCAGGCATCCGTGCATTTCCTTCGGCCCTTCCTTCCTTCCTTCCTCTCCCGGTGACCCTCGTCCCTTCCTTTCCTTCCCTCGAAAGGCACGAGCAGCGAAGAAGAGGGTGCGATTGCAAGGTGCCAGACTCTGCACCTGGGGAACCTCTGCCTGCAATGCAAAACCTTGCAGAGCCCCGGGGCCTGGCAGCCTGCAGCCAGAGGATTTCCAAGGCTCCAGGGAAAAGCTGATTTTTTCCCTCCCCTCTCCAATCTTGCAAGAGGGGCACTTCCCGGGTCTCTGGGCTCCCAATGCTTGCCCGCAGGCGCGGCATGGGAACTGGCCAGAGGGTGCTGGTCTACCTGTCCCGTAGCCACGCCCACCCCCGGCCTGCCAGGTTCGAACAGGTAGGAGCCAAATCTGACACAGGGGTGGGGGTGGGACTCCCAATTACAAAACCTCAGCAGTTTGCAAATGCATCCCCATGCCTCTTTTGAAGATCAGGAGCCTTAAAGACTTTTAATTCCCACTGCATTCTAAATTGCACCCTTGAAGTGAATTTCATTTCCAGGCCTGGGGTTTGGTGGCATCCAGATCTCCTGCTCTTTCAGACTGTTCTGGTGTTGGGTTTAGGATGTCCTCTTCTCTGTTTTTTGTTCCACAAGTTCTCGTTTTGTGTTGCTCCAACTTACGGCAACCTCGACCGGCTTTTCGGAGGCGGTGAGCCGTTCCGGACTTATTTGCTGTGTGCCACAAGCCCCTCTTCAGCCAATTTCGTTGGCCATGTCAGGATTCGAACTCAGGTCTCTGGAGTGCTTATAGATAGATCGATTGATAGATAGAGCGATCGATCAAGCAATGGATGGATGCATGAGACTCTGCCACTGAACTGAATCGGTGACCTTGGGCTTGTTACTCTCGCTCAGCCTGACTTGTCGTTGTGAGCACGAAGCAAGAAAAGAGGGGAACGGTGCCCTTGCCCCCAAAGGCAAAGCAGGGCACCCTTATATAAAAAAAAACACACCCATCCCTATAAGGCATTCCCACGCTCCATGCCTCTGTCTTCCAGAGCATCGTCGGCCACTTCGGTGCAATCCACGAAGACGGCCGAGAGGTCCACTGCGGCAAAGAAGCACATCAGTTCCTCATTTCTGACCGGGAGTTTTGTGGCTCCAGCAAAGTGCTCTTGAAGGTTGGTAGAAGAGGGGGGCTGTGATCAGGAAGGGGGGCCTGTCCGTGCCCAAAGGTGGACGCGAACATTGAGTGAAACGCTGGGAAAAGGGTGGCAATCGAAACCTGATCGCCATCTTGTCAGGAAGGCCCGTGGCTTGATTTTTATTTTATTTTTTGGTCCTGTAGCTCCTTCACGGAGCAGATGCGAGGAACCCTCCGTCTCTAAAATTTCGGAGAGACCTTGCAATGCCGAGGTCTTCTTTTTGACATCTACGGAAAAAATCAGGAACTCTTTTGTCTGGGCGGGCAGACGGATGAGCAGCCTTGGAGAAGCCACCCAAAAAGCTTTGCTTATTTCAGTCAAGCTTTGAAAGTGGGACCAAGGTTTTAGAAAGGAGAGCTTTTTTCGAAAGACACGCCTGCTTGAAGGGCACTTTCCTCGCTGAGTAGAGGCCAGAGCACCCACAGGGCTTCTCTGAATCCTCTCCAGGATCCTGCTGCAAAAATGCCGGGAAGCTGCCCATCCTTACATGTCCAAATGTGACATTTTTTTACAAACCAAGGTCTGTCTTTTGCAGCGGCCGCCGTTCTGCCCCATCAAGCTCTTGAGTGCAGATCAAGCGGCTTCCCTGCCGGGGGAGATCCGGGATCGAGGCGTGGATGTCGGGGTGGCGGTTCTCCTGCAGTCCGCCACCGGGGAGGTTTTGCTCACCCGGCGCGCCAGGCGCCTGAGCATCTTCCCCAACGTTTGGGTGCCCCCAGGTAAGGCTTGGACGAGAGGGATGGGGGGGTCATTTTCCTGGGTTCTGGTTGTGTGTGCGATAGGAAGACCCTTTAAACCGAGGTTTCCTGGAAGTAGAGAGGCAGGCGAGAGAGAGTGAAACTCCGTCAAGTCCCTCCTAAGTGGTACAATCCGGGTGGCCGTAGGTTGTCTGTTTCTAGAGAATCCCACCTTCTGGAAATGATGTGTCCAAGGTAGAAGAGCCTCTGTTTCGTCATTTTTTTGCCTCCAGATGTAGTCCCGGCTTGGGTTGATCCAGGATCTGTACTTAGGTCCATACTAGAAACACTTAAAGAGGTGGGGACATCATGGCTCACCGGCAACCTTCAAAGCTTCTCTTTTCGTTTCAGGCGGTCACGTCGAACCGGACGAAAAGGTAAGAAAAATCAATCAGCCTGCCCCTGAAGTCTCCCCTAAAAAGAGGGACGGCGCAGTGATGCAAAGTGAGGGGGGGGGAGCCCCCTTGAGAAAGATCGGAATCGTCCCTTTTGGTCTGCCTGGAATTGGGGATTATGGTGGAACTGCCTGCATTTTGACCTGGTTGCAAGCTTCTAGTCCTCATGGAGGTCTGAAAACCCACCCTGGGAAGGATTCGCTGAAACGAGAGGGGGAGGCACCTGATTAAAACGCCACACCTCCTTGATCTTGGTTCCAGATACATGGGGTGACTCTCTGCCCATGCTCAGAGGCACATGGGTGCACCTTGCACATGGCAAT